TGCCGGACTGGCGGCTCCGCGGTCGCCGTCGCCGCGCCGTCGCCGCCCGTCGTTTTGGGCTCGTTGGCGGTCAGGCGGCTGCGTGGTCGCCGCGGCCGCCCAGTCGCCTCCTCGTCGCCGCTCGTCGTCTGGGATTGGCTGGCGGTCTGGCGGCTCCGCCACCCGTCGCCGCCTCGTCGCCGCCAGTCGATTGGGCACCGGCGGCGGTCTGGCGGCCCCGCCGTCGCCGTCGCCGCCTTACCGCGGCGCGCAGGACTGGCGCCGCGTAGATTATGTGTTCTACAGGGGCATTTGCATCTCCCCCCTCTACCCGGATTTAACGGGCCACCTTGTTCGTTTCGTTTTTCGCATATATATATATATATATATATATATATATACACACCATATATGCTACCCCCCCCCGCAGGGGTCTACCGTTCAATATGTCGGCGTCCAAGCGAAGCGATGATGTGATGTTGTGTTCCTGTCATTGTGCTGACAGTGTATGCTAGAATTTCCGATGGCGCGGTGGCGGTGAGATGATTGGACCCGTTGGCAGTGCGATGCGTTTGGGTTTCAGGACCCGCGGGCATTTTTTTTGAATTACAAACATCTAGGTGCAGAAGCACGCAATGAAGAGTACCCATGGCAGAACCCCGACGTAGTGCAGACGCACTACCTAAGTCTACGCCCATACGGCTGCCGCGGCCGATCACGCATACTGTACGTTGCGCATAATTTGTTGTGCCATGCGCGCCGAAGTAACTCGAATGTCGCGTCACTGTGCCAATATAACTCCCCGAGCAGTGCGGGCGCACTGCCTACGTCGACGCCAAAACGTCCGCCGCGGGCCGATCACGCCGTCAGCACGTCGCGCATGATGTGTTGCACCATCTCCCCCGTCTTGGCCCACATGTCGTCGTCCTTGTGCCAGTAGTCGTACTGGGCCGAGCGGATCTTGGTGGCGAGCAGCTTGGTTCCTGCCTTGGCATTGGCGCTCCTGTGCGCGCGGTCCTTGATGAAGCGCCACGCACGGTCAATGATCTGGGTGCCGCTCTTGACCTTGAGGTGCTTGCCCGACGGGAGTACGTGCGTCTTCAGCTCGACGTACCTGGGGGGAATGAGCACCTTCTTGCCGCCGACGTTCTTGTACTTCTTCTTGAGAACAACGAAGTTGTAAATGACTCCGGGCACACGTAGTTTGTAGGAACGCGCCGAGTCAGTGTGAAAGACAACATCGCGGTCTTTCAGCCAGCGTTCCGCAAGGGGCTTCCACTCTACCTTGCGCACGGCCCCAGGGCCAGGCGCCGCTTCTTCGCCATCTCGGGGCACAATCTCGCAAGTGTCAGCGCGCGCGGCCTGCCGCGCTGCACAATGCCCAACCACTGCTCCCACATGACGGGGTGAGTTGGGTCTCCCAGAGGCTCGGGCCCGTCGGTCAAGTCCAACTTGTCGAAGGTCGCCTCGCCAGCCTCCACGTCTGCCCATACCTTCGGCCCACTGTATTCGAGGGTCGGCTCCACGTCCTTCACGCACATCCTCCTGGCCTGCTCAACGTTGCTCCAAATCCGCTCCACCGCTTTGTGGTTGACGTCGAACATGATGTGGGTGTTTGCGTGGGAAGTCCCCGTGAGCTTCGCCAGTAGGACCACGGCCTGCTTCTGCAAGCTCTCGGACGTCGAGTGCTCGCTGAAGATTGGGTCCATGTGGGCAGGAGACACGTGCTTCTGGCAGCCCTTCGCGCTGCACCGATGCAAGAAGCGATCGCCTTTGTGCGGGCGAGCTGCCAACTCCCCGAGCTTGCCGCGCCCGCAGAAAGAACAAGTCGCCCCAGTCCAATCAACGAGTAGCTTGTCCCCCAGCAAGATGTTCATGATCTCCGCGTCAGACGCCGCCAAGAGCTCTGGGACTGCGCGCTTCCACTTTGCCTGCTCGCGGCGCAAGCCCCTGCCAGGCGTCGCGTTTTCCTCCCTGGCGCACGGCACGTTCTTCCAGTCCTTGGTCTTGGTAGCAGAGGGACGCTTGAGCACCATCCGAGCCTTGCCCTTTTTGGGGGCGATGCCCGAACGCCCCCCGACAGCAGCGGCGGGGCGACGGTGGACGGCCACCCCTGGTTCCTCGCGCGATAGCACGGACAAGGCAAAGCGTGAGAGGCGCGGGCACCTGCGGCCCTGGCTGCCGACGCGGCCAAGAAACGGCTGCGGCGATGGCGACAATCCGACGGAGAGGGCGATCACGTTGCTGTGCGCTGGTGGTTGCAATGTCTTCATCGGCATCGCGAGACAACGCCCTCGCTGCCTATCAACAACCCAAGCATCGCCCTGGTCGAGCCAAGGGCGCCGTCCCCCCTGGAACATTGGCAAAACAAACGATGCTGATGATGGGCCTCGGAAGCAATCGAGTACGCGGGCTGGCCAAACATATGATGCGGATGGCAAGCCTCAGAGGGATTCGAGCATGTGGATGTGCCGTTTCATGTGGCGGCGCCAAACCACAACGATGGCCCATCCCCATCCTGCTCATGGTCCTCGTCTTCGTTGTCGGCATCATCATTATCATCGGCATCCGCATCATCGTAGTATTCGTCGCCGTTGTCGTCGTCTGAATAATCATCAGCATCGTCATAACCATCATTAGCATCACCATCGTCCTCCTCATCACCATTATTATCACCGCCATCATCACCATCACCATCATCATCGCTAGCATCGCCATCAGCATCATCATCTTCATCGTCGTCGTCATCAGCGCTGCCCCCATCATCATCAGCACTGTCATCTTCACCACCACCATCATCATTATCATCATTATTTCGAACAGCTCCCACA